TAATGTCGATTTACTATGATTGGAGGTTTGAGGATTTTTTACATTTACAGATGTTGCTAGCGTTCCCATATCTAATATTTAAATCGCGGTCTGCCATATAAAAAGTAGGGCTATATACAAGAGAATATGTTGTTGTCTAGGGTTTTATAAGCACAGCTATAGCATTTTGCTGCTATTGTCAAGTGATTTCTATAATTTAGCTCCTAGAGGAATAAACATCTTTTAAATTCGGGGTATACAGCTACATGTTCTGTTGTTAAGTAATATATAAATATTATCAAGGGTCAAAACGCTGAGAAATAGGCCTGGGCCAAACGTGACAGGTGATCAATTAGCATCACAACTAGTTTCTGACAAATTTGTAATAAAACGACAAGAGGTTTCTCATAGTTTGCATGTATAAAAGTATGAAATAGAAGTTAGTTTTTAAAACCTACAGTTAGCTCAGTTGGTAGAGCAAAGGATTGTAGTTATTACCAAATCAGTATTCCTTAGGTCACCGGTCGAACCCGGTACGGTAGAAAAAATGTTGCCTTACAACCATGTAGCAACGTTGTGAGTCTCTCTCTTATTTTCAACACGCAATTAAAATTCGTTTTAATTTTGATGGCTCGTTTTGAGCAATAAGTTTCCAAACAGAAATAAAAAATATCGCAACAGAAATAAGCAGTTGCTAATCCCGGGTTGTCAAAGCCGTTGTTATGATCGCTATTTGCATGTTGTAAACCTACATACATATATACGGTCAAGATGACAGAGTCAGATAGAATACTTGAAGGAAATAACCTGTAGAACAATTTAACAGTCTTAGTTGTAATATTTTTTGTCTATTATTTGTATTAAGAAACATGTTTTAAACTTTGCTGCGTTCTTATGTGTTGCCAAGTGATTAGGTGGCGTGTAGATAATTAAGGGATTAGGCGAACAAAAAATTTGCATAACTAAATGTATCCCAATGGATAGATAGGGATTATATCCTAAGATATTAATATCCTAAGAAAAATGATATCCTAAGATAGTGGATGATATCCTAAGATATTGATATCCTAAGATACTGATATCCTAAGATACTGATATCCTAAGATACTGATATCCTAAATATTGATATCCTAAGATAATGATATCCTAAGATACTGATATCCTAAGATACTGATATCCTAAGATACTGATATCCTAAGATATTGATATCCTAAGAAAACTGATATCCTAAGATACTGATATCCTAAGATACTGGATGATATCCTAGGATACTGATATCCTAAGATATTGATATCCTAAGATATTGATATCCTAAGATACTGATATCCTAAGATACTGATATCCTAAGATATTGATATCCTAAGATATTGATATCATAAGATACTGATATCCTAAGATACTGATATCCTAAGATACTGATATCCTAAGATAATGATATCCTAAGATATTGATATCCTAAGATACTGATATCCTAAGATACTGATATCATAAGATATTGATATCCTAAGATATCGAATGATATCCTAAGATACTGTATGATATCTTAAGATATTGTATGATATCCTATATCCCAGCTAAGATATTGATATGCTAAGATACTGAAAGATACTGATATCCTAAGATATCGAATGATATCCTAAGATACTGATATCCTAAATACTGTATGATATCCTAAGATACTGTATGTTATCCTAAGATATCGAATGATATCCTAAGATATCGAATGATATCCTAAGATACTGTATGATATCCTAAGATACTGATATCCTAAGATATCGAATGATATCCTAAGATACTGATATCCTAAGATACTAATATCCTAAGATACTGATATCCTAAGATACTGATATTCTTCAAATCAGGCCGACCGCAAAGCGGACAGGTCCGGCGAAATCGTCTCTGCATGACTGCTTCGGCAAATAATTCAAGGTTGCATAGAAACACGTTTCTATGTATTGTTGCTTTCAGGAAGAGCTTCTGTGAAGCGTCAGAGAAGCTTCACAGAAGCTTTACAGAAGCTTTACAGAAGCTTCACAGAAGCTTTACAGAAACTTTACAGAAGCTTCACAGAAGCTTTACAGAAGCTTTACAGAAGCTTCACAGAAGCTTTACAGAAGCTTCACAGAAGCTTCACAAAAGCTTCACAGAAGCTTTACAGAAGCTTTACAGAGCTTTACAGAAGCTTTACAGAAGCTTCACAGAAGCTTTACAGAAGCTTTACAGAAGCTTCACAGAAGCTTTACAGAAGCTTTACAGAAGCTTCACAGAAGCTTTACAGAAGCTTTACAGAAGCTTCACAGAAGCTTTACAAAAGCTTCACAGAAGCTTCACAGAAGCTTCACAGAAGCTTCACAGAAGCTTTACAGAGCTTTACAGAAGCTTCACAGAAGCTTTACAGAAGCTTTACAGAAGCTTCACAGAAGCTTTACAGAAGCTTCACAGAAGCTTCACAGAAGCTTTACAGAAGCTTTACAGAGCTTTACAGAAGCTTTACAGAAGCTTTACAGAAGCTTTACAGAAGCTTCACAGAAGCTTTACAGAAGCTTCACAGAAGCTTCACAGAAGCTTCACAGAAGCTTTACAGAAGCTTTACAGAGCTTTACAGAAGCTTTACAGAAGCTTCACAGAAGCTTTACAGAAGCTTTACAGAAGCTTCACAGAAGCTTTACAGAAGCTTCACAGAAGCTTCACAGAAGCTTCACAGAAGCTTCTGTAAAGCTTCTGTGAAGCTTCTCTGACGCTTCACAGAAGCTCTTCCTGAAAGCAACAATACATAGAAACGTGTTTCTATGCAAACTTGAATTATTTGCCGGAGCAGTCATGCAGAGACGATTTCGCCGGACCTGTCCGCTTTGCGGTCGGCCTGATTTGAAGAATATCAGTATCTTAGGATATCAGTATCTTAGGATATCAGTATCTTAGGATATCAGTATCTTAGGATATCAGTATCTTAGGATATCATTCGATATCTTAGGATATCAGTATCTTAGGATATCATACAGTATCTTAGGATATCATTCGATATCTTAGGATATCATTCGATATCTTAGGATAACATACAGTATCTTAGGATATCATACAGTATTTAGGATATCAGTATCTTAGGATATCATTCGATATCTTAGGATATCAGTATCTTTCAGTATCTTAGCATATCAATATCTTAGCTGGGATATAGGATATCATACAATATCTTAAGATATCATACAGTATCTTAGGATATCATTCGATATCTTAGGATATCAATATCTTATGATATCAGTATCTTAGGATATCAGTATCTTAGGATATCAATATCTTAGGATATCATTATCTTAGTATATCAGTATCTTAGGATATCAGTATCTTAGGATATCAGTATCTTATGATATCAATATCTTAGGATATCAATATCTTAGGATATCAGTATCTTAGGATATCAGTATCTTAGGATATCAATATCTTAGGATATCAGTATCTTAGGATATCAATATCTTAGGATATCAATATCTTAGGATATCAGTATCTCAGGATATCATCCAGTAGCTTAGGATATCAGTATCTTAGGATATCAGTTTTCTTAGGATATCAATATCTTAGGATATCAGTATCTTAGGATATCAATATCTTAGGATATCAATATCATAGGATATCAGTATCTCAGGATATCATCCAGTAGCTTAGGATATCAGTATCTTAGGATATCAGTTTTCTTAGGATATCAATATCTTAGGATATCAGTATCTTAGGATATCAATATCTTAGGATATCAGTATCTTAGGATATCATTATCTTAGCTAGGATATCAGTATCTTAGGATATCAGTATCTTAGGATATCAATATCTTAGGATATCAATATCTTAGGATATCATCCAGTATCTTAGGATATCATTTTTCTTAGGATATCAATATCTTAGGATATAATCCCTATCTATCCATTGGGATACATTTAGTTATGCAAATTTTTTGTTCGCCTAATCCCTTAATTACCTACACGCCACCTAATCACCTGGCAACACATAACAACGACAAAAAATATTACAACTAAGACTGTTAAATTGTTCTACAGGTTATTTCCTTTAAGTATTCTATCTGACTCTGTCATCTTGACCGTATATATGTATGTAGGTTTACAACATGCAAATAGCGATCATAACAACGGCTTTGACAACCCGGGATTAGCAACTGCTTATTTCTGTTGCGATATTTTTTATTTCTGTTTGGAAACTTATTGCTCAAAACAAGCCATCAAAATTAAAACGAATTTCAATTGCGTGTTGAAAATAAGAGAGAGACTCACGTTGTTACATGGTTGTAAGGCAAACATTTTTCTACCGTACCGGGTTCGAACCGGTGACCTAAGGAATACTGATTTGGTAATAACTACAGTCCTTTGCTCTACCAACTGAGCTAACGGTAGGTTTTAAAAACTAACTTCTATTTCATACTTTTATACATGCAAACTATGAGAAACCTCTTGTCGTTTTATTACAAATTTGTCAGAAACTAGTTGTGATGCTAATTGATCACCTGTCACGTTTGGCCCAGGCCTATTTCTCAGCGTTTTGACCCTTGATAATATTTATATATTACTTAACAACAGAACATGTAGCTGTATACCCCGAATTTAAAAGATGTTTATTCCTCTAGGAGCTAAATTATAGAAATCACTTGACAATAGCAGCAAAATGCTATAGCTGTGCTTATAAAACCCTAGACAACAACATATTCTCTTGTATATAGCCCTACTTTTCATATGGCAGACCGCGATTTAAATATTAGATATGGGAACGCTAGCAACATCTGTAAATGTAAAAAATCCTCAAACCTCCAATCATAGTAAATCGACATTAATCCCTCTATTTCAGAAACTATTTGTAATGCTAACTGATCACAGTTGGTCCAGGCCTGCCCGCGTTAATTGGTCGCGCTACCTGTCACAGTTGGCCCAGGCCTGCCCGCGTTAATTGGTTGCGCTACCTGGCCCAGGGTTAGGGTTAGGGCCAGCAAAGTTACGTCACATATTTTGCATACTAAGTACTTTCGGAGCAGCGTGACGTCATTGGCGGCATCCCTTTGGTCTCCAGATGGGGGGGTTTTACTACTGACAATCCCAGAAATGGTTCCTTGAGCGTCTTGGTATTAAAGCAGATCCAGATTTTCCAGGAGATAGCCGTTGTCGATCTACAGTTTTGGACAGGCTGGTCGGTGGTTCCCTTTAGTGGTCTGACAAAAAAATTGAAGGTCATATTTATTCCTGATGATGACAAGTGTTGTCTCCCAACATCCTCCGCTTGCACAAAAACACTGAGATTACCAACAGTCCATAGTTCTCATGGGAATTTTTTCAATCTATGCATATTACAATGAAGTACGGAAAAATGGGCTTTCCAAATTCGTAATAAATAACTTGCTATTGTTACAGCAAATAAATCAATCAACAAAGTTTCAAGTTGAACATTGCTTGTATCCGACTTAAATGTTTAGGTTTCAATATGATCTGTGTAACATAGAATCTTTACGGTTCGAGCTTCTGCTTATTTTTTCAGGTAGTTAAATACCCGCCCACCACAGCAAGTTACATCGGTACTACCTACCATGGCATAGACAGTTCGTGATTTTTTATTAGCTCTTCTCAAAACGTGTTATTCCCTGTACTAGAGAGTGTTTACATGAGCTTTTGCTACCAGGTGGGGGTAGCCTGCAATTTTGTCTACTTGTGAGGAGGGTTGGTTAGCTTTCCCAGATGAGATATTGTCCTTTGGTGTTGGAAACTTTGCATCTAAAGACAATGAAGTACAGTAATAAAAAGTAGTGTTGCCATTGTAACTTACATGTAGGGCCAGATCTGTTCCATCTAAACAAGGGTAAAAGCACGCCCTAAATTAGGGGGTGTCTAGTATAATTCAGTAGGTGGAAAACTTGGTATAATATTGCTACTCTATCTCCAACATATTGTCAAAAAGTTGAACTGTTCTAACATAAATATGAATTCCATATGAAGATGATGTACCTAAAGTGTTTACCATTGTCGTAAATCGATTAACCTGGGCATTGTTGACAGGACATGCAATTTCAGGAATTTCTACAAAATTTTCATTCCATGTTTCACCATCAATTTTTGAGAAGAAAGTGGTCCTTCATACTCAATACCATATGCATCGATGTTACTTTCTGCACTGGTGCTTGGTGCTCCTGTAATTGCACAGGTGTGATTTAACCTCTGTTCGTAGAGGGTGGTTGTTATATTCCTCTTGGAATAGGTTGAGATACCTGTTTATTCGTGAGTTTCATTACTGATATCAAGGTAATTATTCTTTTCCAAGTATCAAAACACATAATAAAATATGAACGTACAACAGAGGAACAAGTCCCTCCTAAAGCGCTCATGATCTCTCTCCTCCGCAGAGGCTTTAATTGGCTATGAAGGCGCGAAGCCTCTGCGCGATGCCACACCCAATATGGCGGTAAACCGGGGGGGGGGCGCTTAATTATCAAACGCAAAATTTAAGTCAAAATGACTGAGAAAATATCTCTTTACAATACTGCAACAAGCTGACAAAGAGATTATTTACTAGCTCTACGAAATAAGAAAGTGTTATGTTCAGTTTGCGAGAAAACATCTGCATTTTTTCTAGACAAAGTCTCCATCTACAGTATAAAACCGATGCATGGAAACAACGTATTTAGCGAACAGGTTTTGGTTGCAAGCGAAGAAACTTTTATTTAAACTTTATATTTGACATTTGTATTTTTAGAAATGTGTCCAAAACCGCATAAAAGAAAAAAATGAGTACGTATAGCATACAGAACCATTATTAAATTTATTATCAAGACTGAAAATACAATTCAACTATTTCAACTTCAGCAATATTTATAAACAAACGTGACCTTCAGTCGGTTTCGACCTGATTTATTTGGAGGTTCGTATCTTTGGTTCAATATACGCTATGTAGATGAAAATACCACCGTTTGATTCAGTACAAAAATATCTCCTACTTTCTATCGATAGTTTTAGTGAAATGCCAACACTATAGCGATTTATGACCTTTGAAAGTCAAGCGGGATTTTATATATTAATATCAAATCACGCAATGTTTACACTTGATAAATATAAACTAGGCATACCTTTCGGCGAACATAACTTCGGCTCCTTGGGACGCATCCTCTTTGTATTACTCTTGTTCGAAGGCGAATTCAAAACACTACTTAGAGTGTTATTTTTGAGCTTTTATCTTGAAAACTTCATCTTTTATTATGGTATTTCCATTCCTGGTCTGATTGTTAACTAATTCCCGAACATCAGAGTGTGACAGGCGAGTGCGACTGTGCGAGTAAAAACCCGATATTTTGAAAAATTAAAAATAAATATTTCTACTGGCCGTATTCAAAAGAAATTTTCTACACGAAAGCGCTTGAATACAAGGAGTATTTTACTTCTTTGACTGGTGGCGAATTCCGAAGAGTTCAAGAAATATTCAAGTTTTTCTCGATACGAAATACAGAATGTTTGGCCAAGCGGTGAGTAAAATATACGATTGTTTGCTTTGTGTATTAAATGTTAAAAAATATTACTTTTGACCATCCACAAACATGCAAGCACTACTCAATGAGGTCAATCAATCATGCATTAAATAATGATTTAATTTTCAAAAAGACGTTTCTTGTTTAGCTTAAAATCACCTTTTGTTTCGATGTTTACACTTTGTCCCACTTTGTCCCACTTTGTCCCACTT